CCCAGCCAAATTAGGCGGATTTCACACAACCCTAATGTCTGTGGTGTCCCGAGGCTTTCCATAGGGTGGAAGAAGGCTAAGTGAGGTTGAATACTTGTATTCCGAAGACGACAGGCAAATGGGATCTGAGCGCAAACCGAAGGCCACCTCACGTGTACAAGGACCAGACGAATTCTATAGTGACCACCAAACGTCATGTGGTCACATAAATAAAGCATTACAATGTCCTATATTATTGTCCAATCTCGTAGTGTTTAGAGATAAGTGCGATTGAGTTGCGACTTTAATCACTGCTTCCATTTTAGGTCAAACTAATGAAGTGCCATTCGACAATGGTATGGTATTCATGAAAATATAGTTTAAGTCCAAATTCTAATTGTAAACGTAATTTCAAAATTTTAGCTATAGCAAACATGGCTTCGCTAGCAGGTAAATGAAATGAGAATTTATTTTGCCTACATTATACTTTTTAAAGTGCTCTTTAAAGATTACCAAAAAGTGCGTGCAAATGTTTGGTGTTGTTTTGACAATCGTTCTGTTTTGCAACTCGCTTAAATATTACTCCTTTGCAGGTGTTACCGCGCTCACATTCTTGGTCTTCCACTAAGAAGTGCATGTACTTCCCACTCCTACGACTGATGACCCTATCTTTCATGTTTAAACCTTAGTTTACATTTAGATAAAGTTTATTTGAGACGCATAATTGGCAATTCTGCTCTTGATACACCACTCACTAATAACGGGATAGATTGTAGGGGCTACGGGATTCATGTAACGAACCGTAGGTTTTAATTATGTTCTCAGATTTTTAACTCCGCAAAGGCAGAGGTTACAACTATTTATCATGTCACAACCACCTGTAGTATCGTCTCCCTTGTAGTATGGTGATTTTTTCTGATAGCGCCTACTTAACGAGAACACAACTTCACAGTGTTCTCTTTGATGTTTCCTAAGCAGAAATGGAAGTCCACAAAACAAGACGACTTGATGCTTTCACAGATTTGTGTCGTCGAAAGTGGTTATATTTTTGGCAGTTTCATCAAAGAAGTTTGGAGAGGGAATTAAGGTACTAAGAGGAGCTTTAAGACAGTTTTCTAAGACAGTTGATGTATTCCGCTTTGCTTTTGGCTTTGGCAGCATATTATGACCCACCGGAAGCGGTTCTGTCAAGAAAAAGTCGTGAAGTAAGGCCTGAAACAGGGAAAAGCGTTAAAAAGTTTTTACATATCTTCTGGTCTTTTATGCACTTCTATGCACAACTGTTAGTAAGCGTCTATATTGAAATCGGTCCGTTGCAGTATCCGTGTACTTCACTAGTTTAGAAAAAATGCAAAATTTCTCACATGCTTTTGCTGGCTTGCTGAAATTAAATAAGTATTATGATTCACTTTTCTGTAGTACCCGAATCCCCTTCACTTATTTTGTCACGAACGGTTAATCGAATGTCCTTGGTAGACATGCTTTGTCCGTAGATTAGTGAAAAATGCATATACAGTGGGAAAATAGTGATAACAGTTTAAGAAGCTACCACTATACTTAAAGGGAAAATGACTCCAGTTTGCAGGTCGAGAGTCACAAATTATAGACGCGGTTGATAATGCACTCCAGACTTCTGCATAGAATACGTTGAGGTAAGTATGAAACGAAAACGATACTAGGATGCTGCAAGTTTCTCCTAACAGTCGCCATTTTGCTCATAGGACTGGAACATCTCGTACTCATGTGCGAAATATATTATATGGCTGAGGATGTGGATGTTGACAGTGGAAGAAAATCAATTCAAAAGTGACATAATGGCCAACAAACGGTGCATACCTTCTCGGCAGAGATTCTTCTGTTTTGATCATAGCACAAAAACTTTCCCAATAAATTTCGAGCCAGTAGTGAGTCAGACAATAAGACATCTTCTAAGGCCACGGGTTCGCAGTGCGAAAATGTGATTTTATTGTAATCCGGTAACTGAGTTAATCCCTAGACAAATGGTATGAGAAAGGTTAACATTTCTGCACTTTGAAAGCATAAGTAGATGTGGACGTACAGGCCAGTTTTTTTCAGTAGGTGTTCCCAAAACTCGAATGACAAACCACAACTGTTCAATATCATTTTCACCCTATAAATGCAGTGTTATTTTATTGGCACTTTACAGGAAATAATGGTGAATTGTTAATTAATTCTCCAAGAATACAACCCACAGCCCATAAATCAACGCTTTCAGTATACCGTCTTGCACCATAAAGTAGCTCAGGAGCGCGGTACCAGCTAGAGATATTGTATAGAAACGTCTAAGACAAACCGAGTAGCGACTTGATGACTGTAAAGTTTATCTTCTTGCCTTGAGAATAATCGAGCCAATCCGAAGTCGGCTATTTTAAGAATGCCTTTGCTGTTAATCAAGAGATTAGCGGGTTTGAGATCCTATTAAGGAGGTTAATGGGAACAACAGCAAACCTACACGATGCATTATGCTATTTGAGTGCAAGAAACTTATACCTCGGAGTAGCATAATCATATAGGCTTTAACTTCTCCTTCCGACAAGGGCGAATCGATAGAGCGCAAAATTTCACTTAAATCTGTAGACATGTAGTCGAAAACAAGTGTAAAGCCCATCCCATGTGGAAACACTTCACGAAGCCGTACAATGTTTGGATGAAAAGACATCAACTGAAGTGCTTTAATTTCTCTACAAGCAGTAAATGAGTAAAAGACAGATCAAAACCTTAATGC